TTTCGAAGGGAGTCCTAATGAGTTATATGAATTTATTAAACATGTTGAGGAAATTTTATTTATGATTAGAGAGGTGAACAAGACAACCTATGGCAGGTTTCTATTGGGGGCCATTAGATGCAAAATAGTAGAAAAACATAACGAAGCTCTGATTTCTAATGGAACGGCCCTAATTTGGGACGATATAAAGCAAACCCTAATAAACACCTTTACTGACAAACGTAGTGAGTGTACTTTAGCTCACAAAAAACTATCAATTACTAGCCTATTTGAAGAAATATAAACGAAAATATAAACGGCTCACGCTAATATCATAAAGAACACAGATCTAGAACCCATAATCATAGAATCATAGAAAAGTGATCTCTTTATCTTTTTACAAGGCATAAAGAGACCCTTGGGATTGGCGTTGAGAGCGTTCAACCCGAAAAGAAGCTTTCGATTTCGCGATTAAGGAGCGAGACAACTTCCTATTAGAGAAGAGAGAGAAACTACAAAGGCAGCAAACTATGGACGGAAACGAAATAGAAGAAATTATAGTAATTTTTTAAATCGGGGAAATTGGACAAAAAACGACAGAGAGAAATTTCAAATAGGGGCAGCGAGGACCCCGTTAATAACAACTGAACTAGAGTCAGGTTAGGTTAGGTTGCAATGGCCGGGGTGATAGCGCTCACCCTCCCACTTAGGCCTATAAGGCCCATTGTGATGCCATATAATCTTTCTTAGTCTACCCTTAGCCACCCGGTGGTCTTTAGGAATCTACTTAGGCTCACGAACTAAATGTTGGTTGCTTCGGAGAGATCGTTTAGAAAGGGTTTCCCTAGGGTAAGTAGTCTACGCCTGCTTTGTGCCGGGCAGTAGCAGAGGAGGAGCTCTACGCTCTCTTCCTCCTCTTCGTCTCTGCAGCTTCTGCAGAAGTCATTATATGGGATTCCCAGTCTCGCAGCGTGCCAATCGGGAAATGACCCGTGAGCGCCCCCACTACCAATGAGATATCCGTTCGCTTTAGTTTTACAAGCTTGTACGTCCTTCTTGCGTCAAGGACTGGCCAGGTCAGCTTTGCTCGAACACATGTGTTGGTGTTCTCCCAGCGTTGCTGTGCCATAGACCGCGCATGGTTGCATGTCAGAAGCCGGAAGGAGGCTAACGGCATGCCCGTTCCTTCCCTGTCTGAAGGGATGCATGCCGTAGTTCCCTCCTTGCCAGCTCATCTGCAATGCAATTTCCCTCGGTGTCCCGGTGCCCTGACACCCATGTGCGGGTGATACTGATTTGCTGTACCATCTCATTGAGAGATTTGCGGCAGTCAGTGATGACTTGGGAGTTGTCCACATTGGATTCCAACGCCTTAAGGGCCGCTTGGCTGTCAGAGTATATGAATATCGGTCTGCCACCTGTCATACTGGGTGCTAGGTGCCTTGTCCAAGTCCGGAGAGTAGACGCCTCCACCTACTCTCTGATCTAGCTTGGAGCCATCCGTGTAGAAGTTGATGGCGTTGTCTCTCCTTTGTGGGAGGGTTTCCCAATCTGTCCGAGTGCGAATTTTGACTACGTATTCTTTTTCAAAAATAAGTTTGGGTATGCAGTAGTCCATGTAGGTGGGAACCCCCGGGTGCAGACGGAGTATGCTGGCATGTCCTCTTGTTGAGCTCTTCCAAGCAGAGGTTTCTCTCAGCCGTAGGGCCGAGTTCGAGGCTAGTTCTTTCCCTGCGATGTCCAATGGGAGAAGATTAAGAAATATATTAAGGGCCTCTGTTGGTGTAGTTCGGAGCACCCCGCTGATGCTCACTTCCGCCGATCTCTGCACCCTGCTGAGAAGGGTGAGGGCGGTCGATTTATTTAACGAAGGCCACCATACCAAGATCCCGTAGAGCAGAATCGGTCGGCTGATGGCCGTGTAAATCCGCACTATGCCTGGTGAGAACCCCCAACTGGTGCTTATGGCTCTCTTGCAAGTGTAGAGTGCATTCGTAGCTTTCTTCGCTCGCTCAGTTATGTTGTCGTTCCAGTGCAATTTGCTATCCAGGATGACTCCCAAATACTTAGCACTACGACTGAATTTAAGGGGGACCCCCTTTAGAGTGGGTGCCTCAAGTTCCGGGATCTTGTACTTTCTAGTGAAGAGTACTAGCTCCGTTTTTGTGGGATTTACTCCCAGACTACAAGGGGACGCCCATTGTGAGAGCGTCGATAGTGCCGCCTTCATTAGGTAACAAAGTGTCTGCGGGTATTTACCGTTGCATATTATGGCCACATCATCGGCATAGGCTATGACCGTATGGCCTTCCGCTTCCATACGCCGAAGCAACTGGTTGACTGTTAGCAACCATAGTAGTGGGGAGAGGACTCCACCCTGTGGAGTGCCCCTGCTTACAAACATTCTGCAGGACTGTCCACCCAGTTCGGCATTCACAGCCCTGCTAGTGAGCAGCTGGCTGATGAAGTCGATTAGGAAGACGTCCACCCCAAGATCTGCCATGGATTGGATGATTGCCGAGGGTAGTATATTGTTGAAGGCGCCCTCGATGTCCAGAAAGGCTACTAGTGAATACTCCTTAGCCGAAAGTGAGTTCTCTATTTTAGAGACCAGAGAGTGGAGGGCCGTATCCGTGGACCTGCCTTTGCTGTACGCGTGCTACGAATTCGACATTAGAACCGGATGGATTGTCTGCCTAAGGTATATTTCTATAAGTCTCTCCAGAGTTTTTAATAGGAAAGACGATAGGCTGAAATCTTTAGGTTTGACGTGTGATGCCTTTCCCGCTTTGGGGATGAACACCACTCTAACTTCTTTCCAGCTGGCTGGAATGTGGTTAATTCCTAGGCAGCTTCTGAGCATTGTCAGTAGCCACGGCATGATGTGCATCAGGGAGTGTTGGATTTGGGCCGGGACGATGCCGTCTGGCCCAGGACATTTATAGGGCTGGAATGTTTTTATAGCCCAGCTTATGCGCTGTTCAGTGACAATAGCATCTTTCATATGCCTAGGTATCTCCCCTGTTCTAGGAGTAGGGATTGTGCTGATAACATTAGTGCAACCCGGAAAATGCGTATTTATGAGAAGATCGAGCGAGTCTCTGCCGGAGTCTGTCCAACTGCCGTCATCCCTTTGCAAAAGGGATGGCGGAGAGGAAGACTTGGCCAGCACCTTCCGCAGTCTTGAAGCTGCGGATGTGGACTCAATGTTCGTGCAGAAGTTGGCCCAAGAGGCGCGTTTGGCTTTTCTAATGGCCAACTTGAAAGTAGCGAGTTTGCGCTTGTATAATTCCCAGCTGGGTTCTGTGTTGCTTCTCCTGGCTTCGTTAAATTGCCTCCTGCACTCAACTCGAAGGATGTCTAACTCAGTGGACCACCAAGGTGGTTTACGTTTAATTTTGTAGACCGTGCTGGGACAGGCTTTATTAAGCGAGTCTGAGCACGTTCTGGTGAAGATGTCTACAAGTCTGTCCAGCTCGTCCCCCGTAGTGGGTTCAGAGTTATGCAGGGGGGCTAGATTTTTGGTAATCAATCTGAGATAATACCCCCAATTGGTCTTCCTCGGGTTTTTTCTTTTGATAACGGCTGGGACTTGATACCCTAGCCTGAATTGGATGAGTCTATGGTCCGAGAATGAGGGTTCATCTAGGACCCTCCAGGCAAGAACCCTGTGAGCAAGGCAGTCAGACGCTAGTGTGACGTCGTGGGGTCGTTTCCTATGTTACAGATTAGCAAATTGCTACTTATTATGTAGTCGTATACTGACTCACCTCTTTCGTTAATATCACTGCTCCCCCATTGGGTATGGTGAGCATTGGCATCTCCTCCCAGGATCGTGCCTAATTTTCTTCTGCTGCCATTGCCGACTAGGGCTCTTAGAAGCTTAGAGGGGGGGTCACCTTGGTGGTCGTGCCCCAGATAGTAGGATGCTATCCTTATCGAAGTAGTCTCCCCAGTTTGGTCCCCTAGTCTTAGACCAATCGTCGTGAGGTCGCCATCGCTGAATTGGGGAAGTAGAATAGCGTTAAGTTGTTTTTTCGCTAAGATACAGGTTCTATGTCTACCCTTACCGTTCGTGGAGAACAGGGTGAAACTTGGTGGCCCCGGATTGAGTTGTTGTTTGACTCTCTCAATATGTCCTTAATTTAATTTAATTAAATAACTTAATTAATATATTTTTTATACCCTGTACCCAAAGGGTGAAAGGGTATACTAGTTTTGTGCGAATGTATGTAACAGGCAGAAAGAGGCGTGGCAGACCCCACAAAGTATATATATTTTTGATCAGGATGACAAGACGAGTCGATATAGCCATGTCGGCCTGTCTGTCTGTCCGTCTGTCTGTATGAGCGCAAGGATCTCAGTAAGTACAAGTGCTAGGATAACCAAAATTGGTATCAAGGTTTCTATCAGCCCTAGGTAGATCGAGTTTGTTTATTTTTTCTGATACACCCCCCCACTCCCCCGCAATTCGTGTTTTCTTATAACTTCCGTAATTCTCGGAATTTTAAAATCAATTTTGGTAGGTACATCCAGTTAGTACTAATGTGTCCGTGTGCCAAATTTCATCATGATAGGTCAATTCTGAAGAAAGTTATAGCCATAAGTAAAATCACTGCTCATGCGCTGCCTGCAGCTCTGTCGGCAGCGCTGCCCGCAGCTGTTGTTGTTGTTGCTGCTTTGGTTCAACTTTGTGCTGCATACATACACGCATATAAACACGCATAGGTACGTGATGTAAATGTATGCTGTTAAAACTGAACATAAACATGTATTCTAATTTAATTTAATTAATTAATTTTAATTAATTCATTCATTCTTTTTTTTTAATAATTTAATTTTTTTTTTAATTTTTCCTTTTTGCGGAGAGTACAGGCTATTTTACTGTCGGGCTTGATCGACTGTAGCGTTCTCTCTTGTTTTAAATTAATTAAAAAACTTTTTTTTTTCCTCTTTTCCTTTTTGTTGGTACAGAGTATTTAAGAGTTGAGCTCGCTCGACTTGAGCATTCCATTCTTGTCTCTAATTATATTTGTTGTTTTTAAATTTTTATTTTTACAATAGTTTTCATGATTGCTTTATATACTTTACTTAAAGCACATTACACGTTTTTTGAGCAAAAATCATAGACCCAGATGGGCACTTAAATACTTCAGTTGCGCTACCACCTTGTGCAATAAGCCAACCCAATCTAGAATGAGAAGTAATAAATATCCATTATGGCAAGCCTTGGAAAACTATGCATCGATATTTTTACCCTGTACATAAACGGTAAAAGGGTATACAAGTTTTGTGCGAATGTATGTAAAACAATAAGAAGGCGTGGCAGACCCCACAAAGTATATTCTGGATTAGGATGACATTGTATCGAGGTTCCCATTAACCTCCTCTTACTATTTTAAGTTTTATTATGATAGGTCTGTTATGAAGAAAGTTATTGGCATATATGTTATCTCTGCCCAAGATCTGCCCGCAGCTGTTGATCCCGACGTAATTTATTTGTTTATTAAGGTAAAAAATGTTTGTAATTTGTTCTGGTTTGGGATAGAAGGTATTTGAGTTTTCTTGTTATATTCTGTACATGAAATGTACAAATTTTGCACAAAGATGCCTTATGTGTGTACGCTGCACGATTTTGTTTTATTTTTTTGATTTCTCTCCCAATTTTCCCGATTTTCCAATCGTATAATCGCCTATATCTCGGACTATAAGACCTAGGAACACCAAATTTTAGTCCGAGATGCCTTTTGTGAACACGCAGAAAATGTATATTTTGGAATTTCCCTCCCTCCCTCCTCTAAGCCGCAATTATGATGATCTTTTATAACTCCCGTAGTTCTTGAAATTTCGAACTCAAATTTGCAAATACCCCCAGCTGGTGATTATGTGTCCGTATGCCAAGTTTCACTATGATAGACCGACTTAACAGGAAGTTATAGCCATAAATGTAATTGCTGCCCAAGCGCTGACCGCACTTGTTGTTGTTACTGGTTTGCACAGGCACACGAGACATATACAGATACACACATACACCCATAATTATTCTACACATATGTACAGAGTATTTCAAAGTCGGGACACCCGACTTTATCTTCTCTACTTGTTTTCGATTTGATTTGTACTTACATACTCTCGAATTCAGCAGCGCTTGTGTCAACTCCAAAATAATTTGATTCCGCACAAAGTTCTTGGGCAGAAATCAAGAAAAAAATTTGCGTTGGTGTCAACTTTAGCCCTGGTAGTCGGTACATTCCTTTAACAGGACCAGTCAAAGAAAGCATTGAGTGATACGAAATCTGCATTCCTCCAGAATGTATAAGTACATCCATTCTGCTAAAATTCGAAAATATATTGACTGAATGTGGAACACATCGCATTGCTTTATCGTCAAACGACTTTGTTATTGATCGTAGAATTTCTTTTGCAATGGATACACCAACCGAAGCATAGTGCAAATATGGAGGCAATCCAGAATTGAAGTATGGTGCCAATATAACCGATAAAGGTACAACTGTAACAACAATTATCAATGTTATAATGCTTCATTAAATATGGTGTTCATACTAACCAATTGAATGGCTTAAAGTATCATAAAAAATAGTTGACACAATTGGATAGGCCCACCTAACATATTAAAAAAAATTATAATAATAATATTCAGTTTTTAATTATAATGTTGAATGAAATTTAAATTTGATTACAAATTGAACTTACGCATCATGGGAAACCATAACCATATTATTTGGGTCTGGAATTAATTTGGTTTTTTTATATATTCGAAGAACGTTTTCAAACCAACTATCTGATTGGATATTTAGAGTTTCCATTGATTTGATTAATTTTGTAATATTTTTAAATCCTTCCCACGTCTTCGATTGTATTTTTAAGGCGGAGAGCTTTACTAATGCTGCACCTTTTAAAGATGGCGACCTTTTTAAATGTGCCTTTAGAGATTTAAAAACAGCTTCTGCCTAAAATACAGAATCTTCAAATAAAAATTCAGTCTTAAAAATATGACTTACCCGCTTGGTTTTTTCTATTATATCATCCGAAGAATGTTTCGAAATGTATAAAGCAGATGTTACATCTGGTAATGCCCACATTGTAGAACGAGTGCAAACTTCAGCATTTGCATAATCTTTAGGCAAAATTTCTAATGCGCAAAGCAGTAGTATAGAATTATGTGCAACTCGAGATGGGTATTTGCTAAAAAATTCTTCTAAGGCCTTAAGGTAATCTGAATTGCGCACAATTATCGGTCCACTCCAGGTTTTTGGTATAAGAAGGGTCCAGTTGAACTAAAAATAAAGAAATATTGCTTAATTCATGTATATTAAAAAAATATAAAATGTTTAGTTCTATATTCACACCGTATATAAAAAATATAATAATTTGTAACAGGTATAGTCCACCCGTCTAAGTTTGTTTGCTTAATTATTTACTATATGTTTTTTTCATCGCACGCGCATGCACGACGAACATTTTTCTAAACACGGCCCAACACGGCCGAACAGAACCTTGTTATAACCATTAAATGTAAAAACGAAAAATATATCCATATTAAGCACTTCAAATTTGTATTAAAAAATATTAACATATCTCTATGCGAGCTAAGAAGGCGTCGGTGCTACAGAACTTCAAAAGATTTCATTTTTCGAACTTCCCCTCCAACCCAGCTATGAGACACATCTGACTGTCGATGCTTACATTTGACTGACTACTTCTATATAAATCCTATAACGCTATCTGACTAATTGTGTTTAAATTCTGTAACGTACTATCTATATATATAAAACAGTTTGTCCTGACTGACTGACTGACTGATTGGTGATCAACGCACAGCCCAAACGGTAAAAGCTAGGATGCTGAAATTTGGGCTCAAGTATCCTATCATGCTGTAGATGAGCACTAAGAAGGGATTTTGGAAAATTCTAGCTCCAAAGGGGGGAAAACGAGCTCCAAAGTTTGTTTGAAAAATCCGCACTTTTCAACCGATCGACTTAAAACTTAGTTTCTAAAATCAATTAAAGGAGCTTGAAAGGGGGAAAAGTAGCTCCAAAGTTTGTTTTAAAATTCTGCATTTCTGAATCGATCAACTTTAAATTTGGTTTTTATAATCTATAAAAGAATACAAACCAAACTGCATACTCGGTTTTTCGAAATTTGTGTTGGAGCTTGAATTATTGGGGTTTTCTTGGGGCACAAAAGGAAACCGCGTCAACAGCCCACAGGCCAAACGGTAAAAGCTAGGATGCTGAAATTTGGGCTCAAGTATCCTATCATGGTGTAGATGCGCACTAAGAAGGGATTTTGGAAAATTCTAGCTCCAAAGGGGGGAAAATTAGCTCCAAAGTTTGTTTGAAAAATTCGCATTTTTCAACCGATCGATTTAAAACTTAGTTTCTAAAATCAATTAAAGAATGCAAAGAAAACTGCATACTCGGTTTTTTTTAATTTTTTGTTGGAGCTTGAATTATTGGGGTTTTCTTGGGGCACAAAAGCAAACCGCGTCAACAGCCCACAGCCCACACGGTAAAAGCTAGGATGCTGAAATTTGGGCTCAAGTATCCTATCATGGTGTAGATGAGCACTAAGAAGGGATTTTGGAAAATTCGAGCTCCAAAGGGGGGAAAAGTAGCTCCAAAGTTTGTTTTAAAATTCTGCATTTCTGAATCGATCAACTTTAAATTTGGTTTTTATAATCTATAAAAGAATACAAACCAAACTGCATACTCGGTTTTTCGAAATTTGTGTTGGAGCTTGAATTATTGGGGTTTTCTTGGGGCACAAAAGGAAACCGCGTCAACAGCCCACAGGCCAAACGGTAAAAGCTAGGATGCTGAAATTTGGGCTCAAGTATCCTATCGTGGTGTAGATGCGCACTAAGAAGGGATTTTGGAAAATTCTAGCTCCAAAGGGGGGAAAACGAGCTCCAAAGTTTGTTTGAAAAATCCGCACTTTTCAACCGATCGACTTAAAACTTAGTTTCTAAAATCAATTAAAGGAGCTTGAATTATTGGGGTTTTAATATTTATTCACTATTTCAAATGAAAAGTTTGTGTTATAAATTTAGTCCGATCGTTTTTAAAATTTGGATAATGTAATCTACGTAACTAAATCTACAACTTTGCATTCAAGGATTTTCAAAATATGCATTTTACAAAAGCAGGCAGAACAAACAATACAAAATATCAAACAGTTGGGGACAACTAAGTATACATACACACACACACATACATACAAACAGCTGTTCGTGTAGTTGCGTGCAAACGATTGAAATAGCCAAAGCAACATGTGAGACACTAATGTGTGAATGTCCATACATATGTGCACATCTATGTATGTACATATGTATCTAGATATGTATGTATGTACATTCGTCTTGCACTGACAGAGCAAGAAATGTTAATTAATTGAAAATTATATAACATTTTTAAAAGTAATTTTTTCTTTGTTTAGTGCATTTGGCATTAGTGTTTTCATTAATATTTTATTTATTTATTTATTTATAAAAGAGAAGGTTAACAATTAATTCTTAACCTACTTAAATTTGGAGCACTAGCTGCCAGGGCTTTCAGCTCGCGTATGTATGATTTTTATCATATTTCGGAATAAATGCCTATATTTGTGAGGAATTCTGTTATTGATTGTATGTTGTCTATTGTTGGTGATCTTAGAGCGGTTTCTGGTGTAATGTTCATTTGGGATCTGTAGGGTGTCAGGTTTGGACAGTTAGTAATGATGTGTTGTGCAGTGATGGTGTAGGTGTTGCAGAATTTGCAGATTGGAGGATCCTGTTTTTGGAGTAGATGACTATGAGTGAGAGCAGTGTGTCCGAGACGAAGTCGGGTAAAAGCTCGCATTGGCGTAGTTTTGGCTTCAGGTGGGTATGAAGTGTATAATCCCGTTTGGTTGTATTTTTTGTAGTGGTGAGTGACATTTGTCCAATTGGACAAGTGTTTTAAATTTATGTGGTTGGAGATGAGACGTAAAAGGTCGGCTTTTTCTGCTATCTTTGTCGGTGGTGATGCATCCAAAGTAGCTAGTTTAGCGATTTTGTCAGCAAATTCGTTTCCTGGAATACCCACGTGACTTGGGATCCACATAAGTTTAATGTTTTCTGTTTGGGCGAGAGCATCTCGGATTTGGGATATAATTATGTGTGTATTATTAGGATTTTTTATTGCTGATGTAGAGGATTTGCTATCAGTGCATATTACATGTGGACGTTTTTTGGTAGAAGCGTATTTTACAGCAAGGAGTATTGCGTAGGCTTCAGCTGTGTATATGGAAAAATTGCTGCTTATACAGCCAGAATCCAGAACTTCGTTCTTATTGTTTACCACAGCAGAAGCCGTATTGGTAGATGTTTTTGAGCCGTCTGTATACAGGAATGTTGCATTTTTCTCATCTTTAACCGCTTCATTGAATAAAACACGTAGATGGTGGGGATTGGTGTTGTTTTTGTTATAAATTTCGAGGTCCGAAATAAATGCCTTTGTATTGATGTACCAGGGAGGAATTCTACTTGATTGGATAAGTGTAGGGGTTATATGAAACCCCAATTCCTTAGCTTGTTGGATACATTTGAATATAGAGGAGAGCTTTTTAGGCTGCCTTTTCCTCTTAAGTGCTGTTTTGACGATGTGTATGACATGCTTATTGGCGTTGAGAGTTAGTCTTGGGATGAGTCTAAGGGTTGCTTCAGAAACTCTTTCCTCCAAGGTAGGGAGACCCGCCTCTGTTAGCACCATGTGGGTTGGAGAGGTCGGGAAAGCGCGGATGCTCCGTTTTACTGCAGTGTGGTAAGGGGGGCCTATGTTCCTTAAATTGGTTTTGCAAGTGTGCCCGTAGATAAATAGCCCATAGTCTATTTTTGAGAGCATAAGTGCCTGAATGATATTGATCATAGTGTTTCTGTGTGTGTGAGATCTTTGAGTGGTTAGATATTTAATTATGTTTAATCTGGCAGATAGGCTTTTCCTAATATAGTTACAATGCTCCTTAAAATTAAGTTTATTGTCAAATATTAAGCCTAGTATTCTTAGATAATTAACATAATGAATAGTAGTATTATTTAAATTAATTTCTAGGGGCTGACAATTGTGTTTTTTGCATATATGTAGCATTTTACATTTATCAAGGGACAGGCAGGCTCCCGAGGTTTGAGACCAAGTATTTATTACTTCTAGAATGTGCTTAAACATAGCATTTACAGTCCTTATATTCTTAAGTTTTGTAAAAATCAGAACATCGTCTGCAAATATAATGTGTTCCATGTGATTGAAGCGATTAAGGATACCAGAGATCTCGTCAAAAGCTAATATAAATAGGGTTACCGACAGTGGGGAGCCCTGGGGGATCCCGTTGTGTAAGGGGAATATATTTGAGTAGGAGTTGTGAATGCGGACGGAGAATTTACGATTTGTTAAAAATGACTTTACGATATTGAACATTTTGGTTCCAATTTTCATTTTTGATAGTTGGTTTAAGACCATGTGTATACCTATTCTGTCAAAAGCCTTCTCGAAATCAAGACTGAGGACTGAAACATGGTTACGTGAGGCTATTGCTGTAGTTGAAAAGTGTTCGAAAATCAGGAGGGCGTCAAGGGTACTATGGTGTTTCTTAAAACCGAATTGAAGCTCACTGAGGGCTCGCTTACTGGTAGCATACCACATTATGCGTTTTGCGATGATTTTTTCGAAAATTTTTCCTAAGCAAGGTAAGAGAGATATTGGACGATAGCTGTTGAGTTCTGTAGGGCACTTGTTAAGCTTAAGTATTGGAATTATTGCCGCGTACTTCCAGCATTGAGGAAAGTTACCTTGATTGAAAATGTTGTTGTACAACCTAAGAACTAAAAGCATAAAACTTTCAGGGAGATTTTTTAGCATAGGATACGAAATTTTATCTTTGCCAGGGGATTTCCCTTTGGCAGTCGCCATTGCGCATTCAAACTCGAGTTTAGATATATTTGTCTCGATCATGTTGGCAAGTTTGGTGGGCCTGGGATTGGTGTATATTGAATTTAGAGTGTTGTTTTTGGTAACAATGAAACGGGAATGGAAGTTGTTATTATGTGAATAATTGGACCAAAATACCGCGAACGAGTTGGCAATTTCCACTTGGTCATAAATAGGGCCGTTTCGGCTGGATATGTGGTTGATGTTTGGCTTTGTAAAGGTACCGCAGAATTTTTTTATGTCTGTCCATATCTGCTTAGGAGGTGATGACGGGTGGATGCTTTCAGTTATGTTTTTGAAGCTGGTGGCTTTGCTTTCGCGGCATTTGTTGC